ACAGACCTGCGGCTGACCATCTCGGAGCTGGAGCAGGAGCTGGCAGCGCTGAAGGAGAGGGAGCGGCTGCTGGTGGCCTTTCCGGACCTGCACGGACCCATGGAGTCCCAGATCCAAAGTAGGAGCCCAGGGGTGCGGCCGGGGGTACGCCAGGGCCAGGGCAGGGCAGCCGAGGGCTCTCCTGGCCTGCCGTGAGGTGGGCAGAGCAGGGGCAGCGGCAGCCAGCAGTGTGGCCCCTCCAGAGCTGCCAAGGCCCTGATGGGCTTCCCCTGTTGTCCACTCCTTTGTGGAGATGGGGGTGTGGAAACTCAGAGGAGGCATGGCTGCCCACAATCGAGACCCAGGTATGGCAGCCTGTGCAGTCCTTGCTTGCCTCCCCTTGCTGTCTCCCTAAACCACTCCACGGGGCTGGTCCCCAGGATGCAGCCCCCAGCTGTCTGGCGTCCTAGAACCACCCCCCCACCCTGGCACAGTTTTGCTAGGGACCCATAGTGGACGTCCAGTGACCTGGGTCTCTCCCAGGCCCCCCAGCCCTCCGCAGCCACCAGTGAACCCACTGGGGGAGCTGTCAGGGGGACCTGCAATTTAGGGAGTCACATCGTCACCCTTGAGCACTGCCTGCCCCAAGGGGGAGCAGCCCCCTCTTTTACAAACCAGGAACTGGGAAGCTGGTACGGGCAGCACCAGGCAGTAGGCAGAACACGCACGCTGAACTCTGTGACTCAGGCCTGTGTGACTCTGGACAAGTGCCTTCCTCTCTCTGGCCTGCCAGGCAGGTGGCCCCTGGAGAGGTTCACACGCCAGCTAGCTTGCGAGGGTGCCCAGGAGCTCTCAGATTCTAGAAGGCAGTGGTCACTTTCCCAACAGGCACAGAGGTGGGGAAGTGGAGGGGGGTCTCGCCGTCACCTGCCCTGGGCCTGCCCTCCGAGGCCCCGGTCCACCGGGCACAGGGTCACGTCCTTGTAGGCTCCGGCAACGTCACCGAGGACATGGAGAGACAGGTGCAGGCCAACAGCGTCCGCGTCCGGGTCCTGCAGGAGGAGAACGAGCGGCTGCAGTCGATGCTGTCCAGAATCCACGAGGTGGCCCAGCAGGGGGGCCTCAAGGTGGGCCTGAGAGGCAGGGCTTTTGGGGACTTGGAAGAGGCCCCTACCCAGCAGAGGTCGCACCCTGGGAACCTGTGGAGAGCCCACCTCTGCTCGGGTGGCTTTAGGCCAGGCTTTTTTTTTTTTTTTTTTCGAAGATTTATTTATTTAATTTTAAAGATGTATTTATTTGAAAGGCAGAGGTATAGAGCGAAAACAAAGAGAGGTCTTCCTTCTACTGGTTCATTCCCCAAATGACTGCAATGGCCAGGGCTGAACCAGGAGCCTAGAATTCCACTGGGTCTCCCCATGTGGGTGGTAGGGACTCAAGCACTCGGGCCATCGCCTGCTACTTTCCCAGGCATGTTAACAGGGAACTGCATCAGAAATGAAGCAGCTGGGACTCCAACCGGCACTATTATGGGATGCTGGCGTCACAGGTGGCAACTTCAACTGCTGTGCCACAACACTGGCCATTTATTTATTTGGAAGGCAGAACATCAGAGAGAGAGAGACAGAGACAGAGACAGAGAGGGAGATGAAGAGACAGAGAAAGATCTACCTGCTGGATCACTCCCCCAGTGGCTGCATGGGTGGCCAGAGCCCAAGCACTTGGACCATCTTTCATTACTGTCCCAGGTGTGTTAGAAGGGAGCTAGATTGGAAGTGGAACAGCCAGGACTTGAACAGGCACTTGATGGAGGATGGCAGCATTGTAAGCAGCAGCTTAACCAGTGTTGCCATGGTGCCAGCTCCTAGGCCACGCTTCTGTGAGACATCTTCCCCATTCCAGGAAGGAGTGAGCGGGGCCAGCGTTGGAGTGCACGGGTTAAGCTGTGACACCGGCATCCCATGTGAGGGCCGACTGGCTTCCCGGCTGCTCTGCTTCCAATCCAGCTCCCTGCTAATGCGCCTGAGAAAGCAGCACAAGATGGCCCCAGTGCTTGGGCCCCTGCCATCTGTGTAGGAGACCCAGATGGAGTTCTGGCTTTGGCTTGAAGCAGCCCTGGCTGTTGTGGCCATTTGGGAAGTGAACCAGCAGATGGAAGGTCTCTGTCTCTCTCTGTAATTGCCTTTCAAATAAACGAATAAACCTTTAGAAAAAAGGAAGAGGAAAGGGTGTGAGGTGCTGCTGATCCAGTGTCTTCCAGTTCCAGGCCCCCTGTATCCCTCCCTGCTTTTATTTCAAGTGCAGTCAGGAGCCTTGGCAGGAGGCAGCCCTCCACCGGGCCCTCCCTCGCTTCGCTGGCTGGGACGCTCTCCCCGTGCAGCGGGGAGGAGACTCCTCGGCCTCTCTGAACTTGGCTTTCTTTGCAGCTGATCCCACAGGACCAGCTCCGGTCCTCTCCCAGCAAGGGCTCCCAGGCCCCAAGAGCCTCCCCGGGGTGAGTGCGGCTTTGCGGGAGGCGGGCACACGGGGGAGGGGGAGAATGGTGGCTCCCCTGGCTCACAGAGGACCCTGTGGTCTGTTTCACCCTTAGGCCCATGGGCAGGCGGCACTTCCCTGGCAGAACAGGCAGTCCAGGCAGGCCCCTGCCAGGCCCGGCCCGAGCGTCCCCACCGCAGCAGCCCAGCAAGTCCTCCCTGGAGGAGGGGACCCACTCGGCCATCTGCACCCAGAACCCCATCCGGGCCTTGGCCAGGCTGAGGAGGAGACTCTCACCGGGCCAGAGCCAGGCCAGCTCTGCTCACCAGGCCCAGGAGCGGCCCATGTAGCCTACAACAGGGGTGGGCCTGGAGGACAGGTGGCTGGCAACCCCCGCGATAATAAAAGCCCCAGCCATCTGCCCACCCTGACTTTGGCCTCCTCCCACTGTGGCTGAGCCTGGGACAAGCCCTTTTTTCCCTGTCATGGCCGGGAGCCGTGCAGGTCATTAGCCAGCAGGGCCCTGGCATGGCAGAACCCCAGGAGACCACTGATGGTGAGACAGGCCCTGCCCAGCTACACAGCTGGACCCCTTCACCAGGCCTGCATTTACTGGGCCACCCACCTTGAAGCCCTACCCCCTAGGGTGCCCTGTGACCGGGCACTGGTGCCACTAACTATGCCTGGTGTGCGGCAATCTGGTGTTCCTCCAGGAGCCGCCACCTGCCCTGAGCCACCTCGGGACAGGCTCAGAGACCTTGCTGGGGACTTGTCAAGGTGCACACATGACGTGGAGGCTGCCAGGTAGAGTGGCTCAGTGGACGCAGAAGGCTCGAGGGGCTGTGTGTGGCTAAGTCAGCATGGCAGGCGCTAGCCAACTGCTGCATCTGAGAGGCCAGGATGCCCTCACGGGGCGGGCCAGCCCCTGGGGCTCCCTATGTGAGCTATGGCCAGCCCCCCAGGGGCTCCCTATGTGAGCTAGGCCCCCAGGGGCTCCCTCTGTGAGCTAGGGCCAGTCCCCAGGGGCTCCCTCTGTGAGCTAGGGCCAGTCCCCAGGGGCTCCCTCTGTGAGCTAGGCCCCCCAGGGGGCTCCCTCTGTGGGTTAGGCCCCCAGGGGCAGCTGCCTCAGCCCCTGCCTACCCAGCACCCGTCTGTTGGGTCACAGTTCCGTAGGGCACCTGGGCCCTGTGCTTGGTGTCCTAGATGGCTGACATCAAGGCATCCACGGGATTGCGTTCCTTTCTGATGGTCCCGGGGGAAGCACTCACTCCCAGGTCATCCTGGGGCTGGCAGAGGTCCATGCTCGTGGCTGGAGGACTGGGGTCTGCATTTCTGCCTCCCTTCGGCCCTCCAGCCGGCAGCAGAGAATTCCGCCTGCATCAATTCTCCCCTAGTTGCAGGTCTGCTGTGCCCTGTAACATAACCCAGTGATGGGAGTAAGATCCCTTGGTCACCATTCTAGAGATTCTACGAGGTGTGCTCACGGTGGAGTGGGCTAGGGGGTCTTGGGGGGCAATCCTAGAATTCCAGCTACCACAGGCAGTGGAATCCAAGGTGATTTTTTTTTTAAAAGATTTTATTTGAGAGGCAGAGTTACAGACAGTGAGAAGAAAGGTCTTCCGTCCGCTGGTTCATTTCCCCAAATGGCTGCAGTGGCCAGAGCTGAGCTGAAGCCAGGGGCCAGGAGCTTCTTCTAGTCTCCCACACGAGTGCAGGAGCCCAAGCAGTTGGGCCATCTTCTACTGCTTTTCTAGGCCCTAGCAGAGCGATGGATCAGAAGAGGAGCAGCCGGGACTAGAACCAGTGCCCATATGGGATGCTGGCACCACAGGTGGAGGATTAACCCACTGCGCCAGCCCCCAGCATGATTTTTTAAAATCTTTTTTTTTTTTTTTAAAGATTTTATTTATTTGAGAAGTAGAGTTACAGAGGGATAGATAGAAAGGTCTTCCACCTGCATGTTCACTCCCCAAATGGCCACAACAGCTGGAGCTGGGCCAATCTGAAGCCTGAAGCCAGGAGCCAGGAGCTTCCTCAGGGTCTCCCAGGTGGATGCAGGGGCTCAAGGACTTGGGCCATTTCTACTGCTTTCCCAGGCCATAGCAGAGAGCTGGACCAGAAGAGGAGCAGCCAGGACTTAAACTGGCGCCTATTAGATGCTGGCACCACAGGTGGCAGCCTTACCTGTTACGCCACAGTGCCAGCCCCAAATTTTTTTTTTTTTTTTTTTTTTTAAATCAGAATTAGAGAGATCCTCCATCTGCTGGCTCACTGCCCAGATGGCTGCAATGGCCAGGGCTGGGCCAGGCCAAAGCCAGGAGTCAGGAGCTTCTTCCAGGTCTCCCACATGGGTATCAGGGGCCGAAGCACTTGGGCCATCTTCCACTGCTTTTTCAGGCCATCAACCGGGAGCTGGATCAGAAGTGGAGCAGCCAGGTCTTAAACCAGATGCCCATATGGGATGCTGGGATTGCAGGCAGCGGCTTTACCCACTATGCCAGAATGCCAGGCCCTTCAAAATCTTAAAACATCCACACAGACTTCACATCTTATGTTAAAATATAACCATATTTATTTTAATATTAAACCTTCCCTACCGCAACTCTTAAAAAACAAAACAAAAACAGATGCCCCTGGAAGACGCACCACATTGATCCTGTGGCTTCAAGTATCCCGGACAGCAACTCACAGCCCCAACTTAGCAGGTCCAGGGCCGCATGGTGTCTAAGGCCTCTGGTCCCACCCAGCCTGAGAAGGGACCCAGCTGGACAGGCAGCGGGGCCCACAGCTCCCAATGCCCAGGGCGGCAGACGGTAGGGGGAGCTCTGGATTCAACATCACAGCCTTGGCCAAGATGTATCCTGGAAGACGGTCAGACCAGAGTGCCCCTAGGCCAGACAGCTCTTGCTTCAAATTCACCCCCAATAAATAAGCCTAAAACCTGGCCGCCATACCCTCAGCCCCCACAAACACCCGGACAGGCCACAGGGGACAGCAGTGCCAGCCCCACGTCATCCGGGAGCTGCTATGAGAGGGGCAGACAGATGTCTCAGGATTGCAGAGAACGGCCCCCTCTTCCTTTCCGGTGGGTCTTGACCCTCCATCCTTGGCCTGGGGCTGCAGGCCCCAAGGTGGGATGCCTTGCCCCGTGGCAGGGCCCTAGTCCTCCCATCCACAGGGCTTGCTGTTCTGTCCCAGGAGCCCAGGCTGAAGGCCGGGGTGCAGGCGAGAGGGTTCCGTCCCCACGTGCAGAGTCCCTGCCCGGGCAGCTAATCGTCTGGGTAGCGGTTCCCTGCCAGGAAGAGGAAGAACAGGGAGGGGAGGCGTCAGGTGGGGACCAGGCGGGCTGGGCCAGAGCCCCGCCCCTGGTGCTCACCCAGGACGTTGAACTTGCACAGCGGGCAGGTCTGCTGGAGCATCAGCCAGGGGTCCACGCAGTCCCGGTGGAACTCGTGCTTACAGGGCAGCACCCGAAGCCACTGCAGGGCAGGCAGAGGACAAAGGGCTCAGGCCGCAGCGGCGCCCGAGCTGGGAGGGTGAAGGCTCCTGTGGCCTGCACCCCTCCCCCAGCTCTGTTTCCTGGAGCTCTGGTGGGGCCTGCGAGCAGAACAGCTGCTGGGCAGGTTCTGAGGTCTCTCGGGAGCAGGGTGGGGGGCAGCCCAGGTCAGCTGATGGCGGTCTCTGCCCAAGCCAACCTGCTTGTTGCAGAAGTAGTCCAGGCACACGGCGCAGGTCTCGGTGCCGGGCCCCGGCAGGCCCTGCGCAGCCCTGCCCAGGCGGCAGCGCCGCGTCTTGAGGGATGCCAGTCTCCGCACCACGCGCCGCTGGAACAGGTCCACCTGTACGGGGAGCAGGGGCATAGTCCCCAGGCCTGGCACGCTCCCCAGGCACCAGGGCGCCCCGGGGCTGGCTCCCACCTGGCCTCCAGGCTCCTGCTGGCTCTGCCGCGACGCCTGTCGCTGGGCCTGGACCACAAGGCCTGTGCACAGGAGCATGGCCACCAGCAGGATGGCGTTCCACAGCTGCTGCAGGGGCTTCTGGGGGGAAGGAGAGAGAGGTCAGGGACTGCGGGGCCGCCCCCCACTCTTCCCTCCCTGGGGGCCTCTGTGTCACCCCCGTCCCCAGCCCAGGCCTAACCGGCTTCTTGGCACCTGCGGGGTTTGGATGCCTCAGGCTCCCCATCCCTAGTCCATACCACCGTCCCCTGCTCCTTCCCAGGCCCCTCCGCCGCCCACCCGCTGGCACCAGCCTGAAGGCTCACACAGCCCCAGACTCAGAAGGAGCCCCCCCCAGGCCCTGTTGCTTAGCCCTCTCGGGGTCTCCTGTGTCCCACAAGCCTCTGCTGCTCGGGCCCCACCTGCCCACCCCCACCCTGCCTCGGTCCCCTCGCATGGGGCTCTCCCTCCCTGCTGCCTCCTCTCAGCACACAAGTTCCTGGCCCCTTCCTGCATCCGTCCCCTGCTTGGGAACGTTCTTCCTCGCCCCTTCCTTGGGCTAATGCCTCTGGACACCCCTGGTTTCGGGGGCTCCCCCTGCCCAGCCCCGCTCACGCCCACTGGATCCACAGACTTCCTTGCTGCTGCCTGCTGTGGCCCATGAGCTCTGACTGGCAGGAGGGAGCCATGTCTGAAACAACCACGGCTGCAGCCCCGGGGCCTCAGGGTTACTGGGAAAACCCCGCTGACCTTGACCTAACTCCCACCTGTGCAGCGTGGCTACTGGGCAGCGGGAAGCGACGCGGCTGAGCAAGGAAGAAGCACGCAGGCTCTCCCACACAAGCTCGCCCTCTCACGTGGACGAATAAACACGCGCGTTCCAAACTCTCCTGCATCTGTCTGCCACCGTGTCCTGCCCCGGCCAGTGCCGAAGCTCAAGAACCAACGACTGTGCAGGGGGAGAGGGGCTGAGAGATGATGGGCTGTGCCCCGCTCTCCTGCACCCATCTGCCCGCCTACGAGGGTGCCGGTGCCTGTTCCAGGAAGCCCTCCTGCAGCCCTAAGCTGAGCTGCTGCTATGCCTGGGAGAGTCCTGTGCCCGCCACCAGCCCAGCGGTGTTCACCCAGCAGTGACAGTAAATTTCTCCCCGACTGGGCCCCTACAAAAGCCCGGGGCTGGAGCTGCCCTGCTGAGCCAGGCAGCACTCACTGAGTGGGTGGCCGTTACAGACTAAGCTCTCCGGGGCCGAGTCTGCCTGAAGCCCCGTGCTTGGGAGCAGCAGCAAGGGGTGTGTGTGTGTGTGTGTGTGTGTGTATCCATCAGAGGAGGAAGCATGTGGCTCAATCAGACTTTCCTGACACCCAGATGCCACAGCTCTGGATTCCCAGAGGGACTGGAGGGACGGTGACAGGGCCCTGGGCTCAGGGCCCCAGTTACATCAGGTCAGCCAGCTGACCACAGACTGTGTGTATCCCTGCCTCCAGGCCTCTCCAGACTCTTCCTCCCCCCACCACCTCCCCCTAGCTCCAGCCTACCTCTCGGCCCCTCCCCCGGCCTCTCACCACATGCCTGCCCTGTCCAGGCATCCACGTGGGCTGCACATGGATTACAGTGTCCCATCCCTGTTCACAAACGGTCACGAAACGAGAAGTTACACCCTCAGCCTAAGACCAATTCAGCCGAGGTTTCAGAGCCAGGATTTGAACAGCTGCCCTGCCTGACTTACATCCACCAACACCTGCTGGAGGCTTCAGGCTGGAAAACTGGGCTGGGCCTGCCCCACGCAGAGCAGGGGCCCGAGAAAGGCTTGAGAATACCTTTGAACCCCAGGGAGACCAGAGACAAAACAGCTCTGGCCACCAGGAGGCAGACACGCTGCCCAGTAGGCAGGGGTAGGCCATTCTAAGAGCCCCCACTAAGGGCCCAACAGAGCACTGCTGGGACGGAGAAGAGGGACTTCAAGCTGAGGGTGCAAAGGAGGCTTTGCAAAGACAAGTAGGATGAGCCGAGACGGTCCTGCCTAGAGCTGGACATGAGAGAGATGGAGATAAAAGCATCCGCGCCTACAGCCAAGCACGGCCAAGGCCGAGCGGCAGGTGACAATGCATAGGGCACAGGGCACAGGGAGCCAGGACTCAGAAGACTGGAAAAAGAGGATCAGCAAGTGGCTAGGGGAGCTGTGAAAGCCAGGCTGTGGAGCATGAACCTCTGCAGGCAGCCCTAACCCCTACCCGCGGCCCTGGGCCGGGTGCCACACTGAGCACCCCCTGTACCGCGACACTGAACACCCCCAAGAGCCGTGTGATGCCAGAGGCTCTCCCCACCACCAAGGTCGGGAGTGGCCCCAGGACTTGCAAGACAAGGCATGTGTGTAACCTCACCCCCCACCCCACCAACCCCACATCTGCGCCTCTTCTCCCTGGGCCCCGTATAACCCGCCGGCAACGCACCTGCTCCTGGGCACGACTGCCTCCCAGGCATACCAGGTCCTGCCAGCCTCCGTAGGCATCCTTGGAGAGGCCGCAGGTGGTCCACAGAGTCAGCTTCCACTCGATGTTGGCCGACAGGGACTCTCCGCTGGTGATCTCGGCTGTGGCCTGGGCCCGCCTGGGAGGGGGCAGACGGCAGGGCTCTTGGGAAAGGGGCCTTGGGTAGACGCCCTGGAATGTCCCCCGTGCAGGCCTCCTGCGCTGGCTCCCAGGCCTGTCCAGGTCATTGGTTTTTCTGGGTCTCCCATGAGCCAAGCCATTCAAGCCCGGGGGTGATAGGGGTCGGGAGGGCCTGTCAATCAAGTAACCTGTTTCCTCCTGGCTGGGTCATCATTCCAGGCCCCTGGGGCCTCCTCCCTAGCCTCTCACCTCTCTTTCCACCTGGGAGTGAGCAGTCTTAAGGCCAACACATGGCGGAGGTCCTGAACCTTGTGAGCCCGGGGGAGAACCAGGGTCCCAGGCCCAGCCCTTGGCAGCCCAAACCCCCAACTCACTGCCGCAGAGCCTCCAGCAGCTTGGTGACGTTGGCAGAGTAATGGAGGACGATCACCGGCCTGAGCAGGAGCTGGGAGATGTCCAGCTGTGAGAGGGAGCACATGGAGGTCGGCCGACCTCAGGCCCCCTTTCCCTCGTGTCCCCTCGCAGCCTGTTCCCCTCCGCTCACCTCCCCGACCCCCCAGCCCACTCCACTCCGCTCACCTCCCCGACCACCCAGCCCACTCCACTGCGGCTCACCTCCCTGACCACACAGCCCACTCCACTGCGGCTCACCTCCCCGACCACCCAGCCCACTCCACTCTGCTCACCTCCCCGACCCCCCAGCCCACTCCACTCCGCTCACCTCCCCGACCCCCCAGGCCTCTCCACTGCGGTTTCCCTCCCGAACCCCCAGCCCGCTCCCCTCCACTCACCCCCCCGACCACCCAGCCCACTCCACTCCGGCTCACCTCCCTGACCACACAGCCCACTCCACTCCGGCTCACCTCCCCGACCACCCAGCCCACTCCACTCCGCTCACCTCCCCGACCACCCAGCCCACTCCACTCCGGCTCACCTCCCCGACCCCCCAGCCCACTCCACTCCGGCTCACCTCCCCGACCCCCCAGCCTGCTCCACTCCGCTCACCTCCCCGACCCCCCAGCCCGCTCCACTCCGGCTCACCTCCCCGACCACCCAGCCCACTCCCCTCTGCTCACCTCCCTGACCACACAGCCCACTCCACTCCGGCTCACCTCCCCGACCACCCAGCCCGCTCCCCTCCGCTCACCTCCCTGACCACCCAGCCTGCTCCACTCCACTCACCTCCCCGACCACCCAGCCCACTCCCCTCCGCTCACCTCCCCGACCCCCCAGCCCACTCCACTCCGGCTCACCTCCCCGACCACCCAGCCCACTCCCCTCCGCTCACCTCCCCGACCACCCAGCCTGCTCCACTCCGCTCACCTCCCTGACCACACAGCCCACTCCACTCCGGCTCACCTCCCCGACCACCCAGCCCACTCCCCTCCGCTCACCTCCCCGACCACCCAGCCCACTCCACTCCGGCTCACCTCCCCGACCCCCCAGCCCACTCCACTCCGGCTCACCTCCCTGACCACACAGCCCACTCCACTCCGGCTCACCTCCCCGACCACCCAGCCCGCTCCACTCACCTCCCCGACCCCCCAGCCCGCTCCCCTCCGCTCACCTCCCCGACCCCCCAGCCCACTCCCCTCCGCTCACCTCCCTGACCCCCCAGCCCACTCCACTCCGCTCACCTCCCCGACCACCCAGCCCGCTCCGCTCACCTCCCTGACCGCCCAGCCCGCTCTGCTCACCTCCCGGACCACGTTGTGGTTCAAGATAAGGAGAAGCAGGGCAGAAGCTCCCAGGAAGAGGGCCCGTTGCATCTGTCGGACAGAAGGTAGGAGGCTGGCACACCCCCTGCTGTGAGCGTGGACACACTAGCCAGGGACAGACTAGCCAGGGGCTGACCTGAGGTCAAAGGCAGAAACTCTCCTTCCCGGCCAGGCGCTCTGTAGGCTCCAAACAATACCTGCTGTCCTCCCTCCCCTATCACATACATCACCCAAGTCAGCCCCCTGAGCTCCCCCTGGCCTCCCTGCCCCCACACCACACTGCCCTGGCACTAATCTGACCCAGTCTTCCACACTGGAGTCTCCTGACTCATTCAGGCCGTGGGCTTCTCCGGAAGCTCCAGAGGGCTCCATCTGTGGCCCAGCTACAGCTCCCCTCCCCCCTTCACCCCCTGCACCTGCCGGATCAGGGCCTTGGGATAGGCCTGCGGGCCACTGCCCTGACTCTCCTGGTTCTCCTTGCCCACATAGGCCACCGCGATCCAGCCTTCTGCGGGCACGTCCTGCTCGGCTTCCACGACGTCCATCTGGAGGGCCCAGGACCAGAGCAGGGGGAGGAGGGAGAGAGCGCGGAGGTTGGGCACAGGCCATGCAGGACTGGGGTTTGGGGATGGGTCTGGAGGGGAGGGGCTTCCAGGCTCGGGATTTGGAAGCCTTTTAGGCTGGGGGTCCGGGCGGTGGGCGCTGCATGCCAGGGTTCTGGGCGCGGGGTCCACGGCGGGGCGCCGGAGAGGCGGCGCTCACCAGCAGCAGGCGGCCGCCCAGCTGGGGCGCCGGGTCGGCTTCGGGGCCGATCCTGACGCCCTCCAGGACCAGCGCGTCCTGCAGCGGCAGCCTCACGTCCACTCGCACGGCGCGGGCTCCGCCCCGCCCCGCCCCGGCCGCTGGCTCGCTGCCGTCCGCCGCGGCCCCGGGCCCGGCCAGGCCCAGCCACAGCGGCAGCAGCGGCAGCAGCAGCAGCAGCGGCGACGGGGGCGGCGGCGGCGGCGGCGGCGGGGGCGGCGGCGCCGGCCTCAGTGCGGGGCGCGCGGCAGGGCCCATGGCTGGACCCCGCAAGCTGGCGAGACGCGTGGGGGGCAGGGGACCCGGGAACGGGGGGAGCGGAGGGACCGAGGCCGCGGCCGGACGGGGCGGGGCGACGGGAGGGGCGGGGCCGCGGCCGGACGGGGCGGGGCGACGGGAGGGGCGGGGTAGGCGCTCGGCACCTCCCACGCCCAGACTGGGCCGCTCGCGCCCCCTGGTGGCCGTAGAGAAACCCGGGCGCCAGTGCCCCGGGGAGCTGTAGTGGGGGTCGCGGTGCAGTGGTGCGAAGTCAGAGAGAGGCGGACGCGGGGAGGCCAGCCAGGCTGTCCGCGGAGACCGGAGATGGGAGACCGAGGAAAGCCGTTGGAAGAGGAGCCCTGGGGAGGCAGAGGCAGAATCAGGGGGTCGCGAAGGGGAAGAGCCACTGACCCACAGTATGGCCAGGGCCATGTCACGCCCCTCTCTTCCCGGGGCAGAAAATCGGAGACTGATAGGGGATGCAGACTGGGGAGGTTGAGGCACGGGTCCCAGAGCGGCAGGAGGAGGGGGTAGAGGCAGGGGCCTAGACGAAGCGAGCAGGGACAGTGTTTGTAAAGGGGGCAGAGAGGCTGGGTCACTTCCCGCACTGGGAGAGTGGACGTGATGTAAACCCCAGCAGGGTCTCGCTCCCAGCAAATAACTGCTGATGCCTGCTGGAATGTGAAAGTCTCCCCGGTGTCTAAGGATTGGGGCTGCTGGGAGCTGACTCAGTCTGAAACGTGGACCTTTTAAAAATTACACTGTGGGGTGGCGCTGCTTGGGTCACTAGGCTAATCCTCCGCCTGCGGCGCCGGCACACCAGGTTCTAGTCCCGGTCGGGGCGCCGGATTCTGTCCCGGTTGCCCCTCTTCCAGGTCAGCTCTCTGCTGTGGCCAGGGAGTGCAGTGGAGGATGGCCCAGGTGCGTGGGCCCTGCACCCCATGGGAGACCAGGAAAAGCACCTGGCTCCTGGCTCCTGCCGTCGGATCAGCGCGGTGCGCCGGCCACAGTGCGCCAGCCGCGGCGGCCATTGGAGGGTGAACCAACGGCAAAGGAAGACCTTTCTCTCTGTCTCTCTCACTGTCCACTCTGCCTGTCAAAAAAAAAAAAAAATTTACACTGTGGGGTGGCGCTGCTTGGGTCACCCTAGGGGTCACTTAGGGGTCCTAGAGGTCACCCGGTTTGAGAGTGCCTGGTTCAAGTCCTTGGCTTCTGGCTCCAGCTTCCTGCCAGGGCTCACCCTCGGTGGCGTAGATGACGGCTCAGGTACTTGGCCCCTGCCACTCACCTGCGAGACCCCACAGAGTTCCCGTAGGCTCCTGGCTTGTGGGGCCGTTTGAGGGGTGAACCAGCAGATGGAAAATCTCTCTCTGTGTTGCTCCCTCTCTGTCGCTCTGCCTTTCAAATAAATGAATAAATACATTTTTTTTAAAGTTTCAGAATTTTTGTGTGCTATAGAAGGAGGCAATATAGTAACTTGGATAAATTGGTTTAGGCATTAGGAAAAGAGATAAAATTGGACCCCCTGTTGCACATCACATACAAAAGATGGGCTCCATGTGGAATGAAGACCTAAAAAAGGGAAATTTTAAACATTTTTAAGGAAGAAACAGACTATCCTGATTGCCTCAAGACCAGGGGAGATTTCTGTGTCATAAAAGCAGATTGGAAAGGAAATGATTGAAAAAAATGCATCCAAAATAAAATGGAAAACTCCTATTCATGAAAACACTGTTATGGGCCGGTGCTGTGGCACAGCGGGTTAAAGCTCTGGTCTGAAGCGACAGCATCCCATATGGACACCGGTTCTAGTCCCAGCTGCTCCTCTTCCAATCCAGCTCTCTGCTATGGCCTGGGAAAGCAGTAGAAGATGACCCAAGTCCTTGGGCCCCTGCACCCGCGTGGGAGACCTGAAGAAGCTCCTGGCTCCTGGCTTCAGATCGGCACAGCTCCAGCTGTGGCGGCCATCTGGGGAGTGAACCAGCAGATGGAAGACCTCTCTCTCTCTCTCTCTCTCTCTCTGCCTCTCCTCTTTCTGTATAACTCTGATTTTCAAGTAAAATAAATCTTAAAGAGAGAGAGAGAAAAAACATTGTCATATAATGGCAGGAAAAGCCATAACCTGGGAGGAGATATTTGGAACCAGTTGGTTCCTGTGCAGGATGTACGAATACATAGATATGAGCTCAAGATACAAACAGGCATTTGACTAGAGGAGACATGAATCGCCTGTAAGGGCCACATGGTGGCGCAACAGGTGTCTGAGCTCTGGTCCAATCCCTGCTGCGCCGCTTCCGATCCAGCTCCCTGCTAACGCGCCTGGGAAAGCAGTGGCAGATGGCCCAGCTCCAACCATTGTGGCCATCTGGGGAGTGAACCAGCGGATGGAATACCTCTCCCTCTCTCCCTCCCCAACTCTGCCTCTCAAATACATAAATAAATGTTAAAAATATGCATAGAACTAACATATGACCCAGCACTTCTCCTAGGGGTATACCCAAAAGTATGGAAATCAGGCAAGTACTCACACAGACACTTGTACATGAGGGTTCCTGGCAGTGTTGTCCATCAGAGCCAAAAGGCAGAGTCAGCCCAAGTGTCCCTCAGCAGGCAGGAGGGTAAACACAGCGAGCTCTACACGCACCATGCAATATCTCCAGGTTAGGGTTAGGGTTAGGGCTAGGGCTTGGGGTTAGGGTTAGGGTTAGGGTTAGGGTTAGGGTTAGGGTTAGGGTTTGGGGTTAGGGTTAGGGTTAGGATTTGGGTTAGGGTTAGGATTTGGGTTAAGGTTAGGATTTGGGTTAGGGTTAGGGTAGGGTTTGGGGTTAGGGTTAGGATTTGGGTTTAGGGTTGGGGTTAGGGTTTGGGGTTAGGGTTAGGGTTTGGGGTTAGGGCTAGGGTTAGGGCTAGGGTCTGGATTTAGGGTTAGGGTAGGGTTTGGGGTTAGGGTTAGGGTTTGGGGTTAGGGTTAGGGTTAGGGCTAGGGTCTGGATTTAGGGTTAGGGTAGGGTTTGGGGTTAGGGTTAGGGTTTGGGTTTAGGGTTAGGGTTAGGATTTGGGTTAGGGTTAGGGTTTTGGTTTAGGGTTAGTGTTCGGATAGGGTTTGCGTTAGGTTTAGGGATTGGGTTAGGAATAAGCAATGAAGCACCAATCCCCACTACAACCTGGAGGAACCTGCAAATCCTTATGTTGAGAAGCCAGACACCAACAGTCACATCTTGGGCATTTGACACAGTGGTGAAGACGTTGCAAGGGACGCTTGCATCTTGTCTCATAGAGCCTGGGTTCGAGTCTTGGTTCTGCTTCTAATTCCAGCTTCCTGCTAACGCATAAGCTGTGAGGCAGCAGGTGACGGTTCATGTATTTGAGTCCCTGCTGCGCACATGGGAAGGATGGACTGAAATCCAGGCTTCTGGTCTCAGCCTGACCCAGCCTGGGCTGTTGTGGGCAGAAGGGATTGAAGATCGCTTTCTGTCTCTCTGCCTTTCAAATAAATAAAAGTTAAAAAAAACTTCGAATGGGCCCGTGCCGCGGCTCACTAGGCTAATCCTCCGCCTTGTGGCGCCGGCACACCGGGTTCTTGTCTCAGTCGGGGCGCCGGATTCTGTCCGGTTGCCCCTCTTCCAGTCCAGCTCTCTGCTGTGGCCAGGGAGTGCAGTGGAGGATGGCCCAAGTGCTTGGGCCCTGCACCCCATGGGAGACCAGGAGAAACACCTGGCTCCTGGCATTGGATCAGAGCGGTGTGCTGGCCCCAGTGTGCCGGCCGTGGCGGCCATTGGAGGGTGAACCAATGGCAAAGGAAGACCTTTCTCTCTGTCTCTCTCTCTCACTGTCCACTCTGCCTGTCAAAAAAAAAAAAAAAAAAACACTTCGAATGAACCCATGTACAGGAAATATGCAGAACAGGTGGATCCAGAGTCAGGGAGCAGATGGGCGGCTGGGGGTGGAGGTGAGTGTGAGATCTCCCAGGTGGTGAGACTGTGTGGGAACTGGATAGAGGTGATGCTTACACGATACTGTGCACATGCTAAGTGCTAGTGAATGTTTCACTTTAAAGCGGTTGATTTTATAGTCTATAAATTTTACCTCAATAAAAGAAAAACAGGAACCGGCATCGTGGCATAGTGGGTAAAGCGGCCGCCTGCAGTGCCAGCATCCCATATGGGTGCCAGTTCAAATCCTGGCTGCTCTACTTCTGATCCAGCTCCCTGCTGATGGCCTGGGAACAGCAGTGGAGGATGGCCTGGGTACTTGGGCCCCTGCACCCACGTGGGAGACCCGGAGGAGGCTCCTGGCTCCTGGCTTCTGCCTAGCCCAGCCCCAGTCATTACAGCTATTTGGAGATTAAGCCAGCAGATGGAAGACTCTCTCTCTCTCTCTCTCTGTCTCCCTCTCTCCTCTACTTCTCTAACTCTTTCAAATAAATAAATAAATCCTAAAAAAGAAAAGCAATCCCCCAGTCCAGACCAGCGTTGTTTAGTAACAGTTTAAGCTATTACTTGCAATGCTGGCATCGCATTTGAGCACTGGTTCCAGTCCCGGCTGCTCCACTTCCAGTTCAGCCCCTGGCTTATGGCCTGGGAAAGCAGCAGCAGATGGCCCAAGTGTTTGGGCCCCTGCACCCATGTGGGAGACCTGGATGTAGATCCAGATTCCTAGCTTCGACATGGCCCAGTGGAACCATTGCAGCCATCTGGGGGCATGAACCAGCATATGGAAGATCTCTCTCTCTCTGTCTCTCCCTATCTCTGTAACACTTTTTTTTAGGAAAAAAATAAAGTGGTTAATTTTATATTCCATGCTTTTCACCACAATTAAAAAAAAACAATATACAGGATTGGTTGTATTTTTAGGGATGCATTCATATGCAACAAAGCTGTCAAGAGAATTAAAGAAATGAGAATCACAAAGTTCAGTCCATTCAACTGGGGAGAAGCCCCCTGGGGGGGGGTTCCAATGGCATGTTCTACCTTTAAGTGACAGGATGCTTGTGCTGTCATTCTTTTTTTTTTTTTTAAGATTTATTGTATTTGTTTGAAAAGCAGAAGCACACACACATAGAGAGGAGAAGACAGAAAGAGAGAGATCTTCCACCTACTGGTTCA